TAAGAAAAATTTACATACTTAGACAGGGAGAGAGAGAGGGAGAGAGAGAGAGAGAGAGACCTCCATGCTGACTCCATCTTTTGTTTGTTTTGAAGGTGCAAATTCAACAATGTAATCGGTGACAGATAAGAGCCAATCGATCTCTTTTTTCCATCTTGCTTTGGTATCTGGTGCCATGGGCTCTAGCTTCTTCTGCTCACCAAATGCAGAAGCTGCATGCAATTACAAAACGACATCGTAAAATAAGCCAGCCATGTTTTGCATGATTTTAACTAAGAGCTCTTGCAAAAGTATCAACAAGGAATATCATATATTAGTAAATTTTGAAACTTTTAGTGATGAAGAGTATCATATTTCCTACCCATTACAAAAAAAAGTACAGGCACCTGCTAAGTTTGTAATTGCATTTGACAAAGCCAAAGCTGAAGAAACACCTTTTCCTCCACCAGACATATCCTCACCCAGAAGCAACTTTGCAAATTTTTCCTTCATCAACTCCAAATCTGATCATATGAAAGAAAATGGATCTATGAGAACGCATATGAAATATGAACAAACAATAATACTCTTTAAACGTACTACAAAGCTACCTTTCACAATATGTGAAGGCTCTAGTTCACCTTGCTCTATTAAAATGCTTGTCAATATTTTAGAAACCCGTTCCTGATCATAAATTTAAACCACAGAGTGCCACACATATGAATAGACAACAAAAAAATATGAAGGCAGAAACACCTCATGAACAGATTTAACACATTTGTAGTATATTTCAAAACACCGAGTCTAATCTGTCAATGTCCCCACTATACGTTCTAACACGAATGTGGAAGTTAAGTCTTTTGTAATCATACACCATGATAAAGGAATAAACTTATATCCTTAAACCAGTTTAAGATACACGAAAAAATTGTACAAAAGCATTTCATCGAAAAAAAATAAAAAAACATTGCATATAAAACATAGATATACCTGCAGGTGTCTTATCTCGTGCACGTGGGCTGGCCATACTTCCGTTAACCAACGTTTTCCGGCGATTATTAATGATCTTGTCACTATGTATGGCTCCTAAACGTCATCTCAATTTAAGAACAATTAGCCCAAGTCCGCATTCAATCAAACACCTGGCCTGCATAGTTTTCCTTTTTCCCTCGTAGAACGCCAACATGGTATTTTTGGGCTCCAACGATCAACCCC